TAAACTATGTAATGATCAAACACATATGGCATACTGCTCTTAATGAATAAAAAACAAAAAGAAAAATGCGCCATATAAACGCAAAATCGTAAAAAGAACAAACGCTGAAACGATCCAAATGAATTTATCAATACATTTGTTTAGCCTTAACAAGACAGACCTCGACCTTGACCCCTATCTCCTGCAAGTACTTGATCCACAGTTTCTGTTTAACCGAGAGGCTGTCCCCAGGTCCCTTGACCTCCACGACTTTACACTTCATGCTCTTCTCGTTCCACACAAACAAATCAGGAAATCCCGACCTCCAGTTTACATATCCCCCTAGGACCATTCTCTTGCAGATCCCCAGGACTCCATTCTTCCCCAAGCACGTGATTATCTCGTGAAACAATTCAGGATCGTCCACTATAGAACACATGATAGACTGAAGCCCAGAGAGATCTCGATAAATAATAGTCATTTCCTCCAGGACGGAACTAAAGTTCTGAAGCTTTTCTAAATTCTCAACCTTCTTTGATAATGCTTCCCTCCGATTTTCAAAGAAACTCGAACCAAAGAGGTCCAACGGTGCATCCTGAAACAACGAGACGAATGCACCAGGAACTGAAAGTTCGTAGATTTCTCTCCAGAACAGACAGGCAAAGAGTGTGACGGGAAGGGCTCCCTCGCAATGGATTCCCTTCGGATATCCAACGGTGGCATAATGACTCATAGCCACAGTTTCAACGTTTCCATATCCTTTCTCCTCATCTCCGATATTGAGTTGCCACATACTCTTTCCGCCACAGCCTGCCCTGTCCACTTTGGTTACCTCGATCTCCACTTCTTTTGGAATGCACACGAACTCCTCCTCCTTCTGATCCAACACATCCTTCAGCTTGTTTTTCGTGATGGGGGATATCCCGTTGACTCTGCTCGACAGCTTTTTTGCTCTTTCAATCATCTCGGCCTGATCAATAATGGAGGAAGTCACTGAGAATGCCTCTAGAGTCATTTCCGCTGATCGTTCGAGGTCCTTTAAGTGGCTCATCTCAATCAGCGTTAATTCTTTGTAGAGCTTGCCGCAGTTTATCAGAATATCTGCACGATTGTTCAAAAGAAATTCTATATAGGATTTAACAAGGAGGCAACCGTCATATTTTAGCCTTTTGAAGGCCTCGAAGCTGAGGATCAGGATTTTGGACCAGACATACGTGGAGGTGAAGCGAGCAATATGAGAGGGAATTTTTTTTGATTTTCGACCTTCCGAGGTTGAGTCTTCTGGTGATTTCACAATTTTGTTCATTATTTCTTTCAATTTTTTGTAAGCTGTTTTTCCATGATCTCTGACTGCCTCCCAATGCGAAGGGCCTTTATTGGTCTCTTTCATGACTTGAGTGATCTTCATCCAGACGAGTTTAGCTTCTGTGTAGTCACTCAGTGATTGTCTACTTTTGAATAGTGGAAAACGAATTATTGGAGTCGAGGGGAAGGTCTTGTTTCCAAAGTGGACCTCGGAGAGCTTGTGGAAAACGTCACTTAGCTTTTCCTCTGGGTCATGATTTGGATAATAGAGAGTGAGGATTCGGTGGATTAGGAAGACAAATTTCTCCGAGAGTTTCAGGATTGGACCAGCAACGTATAATAAACGCGTTTTGAGGGCCTCATGTGGTGATGTCGTGTTAAAATGACTAGTTTTTTGACGCAAGAGCTGTTTTAAGGAGGCTATCATTTTCGGTTTCACTACATTAGAGTTCATCTTCATGAGCTTGCAAAGGTCTTTCAGCTCGTCGACTTGCAGAAGCTTGAAAATCAATTCTATGTCCACTTTTTCCCAATCATTATCGAAGAACCCTTTTTTGGTCAATTCCAAGTAGTATTTCTCCATATTCTCCCCGAAGTGATGCTCATATTTCTGTTTCCTCACTCGGAACCACTTGACCTCCCTCTTGAGCATGATCGCCAAAAGCACCTGTTCCTCTTGGCTCATGCTCATCACCTTGAAGATCATGTCTCTCTCCTCCTCGTCGAAATACCCACAATTGACAGGTTCTGAAAACACCCAGATAATCATCTCCAATAGTCTCTCAGAGTGCCAATTCTTAGGTTGGACAACGTCCTGAATATCATATTGCTTTGCAGTACTAGTGTCTATTCTCTCCCACTGAATCTTGAAATTTCCTTTTTCATAAATCTCCTGGAGGTCAAGCTTATTTGCGGTTATGGCTCCCTGCTTGGCTAAATTAAGATTATCTACGACAGTTTCGAAATTCGTATTATCTTTGAATATTTTCTTCGGTCGATAGCGTCTCATGGTGGGAGACCTTTGGGTCGGGGAGAATGTTGATGGGGATCTCTTCAAGGGAGTCTCCATGTTCCTCAATGGACTCTGGACGTCATCCCGTGGCGAACCGCACCCCTCATTATTGCTGGACTTCTTGGGCGTCCTAGGATACCCGATCATCTCTAGGTCGACCAAGATCTCTGGCGACGCCATTTCTTTCGGAGTCATCCCGGACATTCCCATCCCAACCACGATATTTTCTGCACTTTCCACTATCCTTTGAAGCTTCTCAGCCTTTCTAACCCTTTGATCAGTTCCTTGAGATTTCTGTTGAAAATTGTTTGTTTCCTGTTGAAAATTCCTGTTTATAATTTCTGGGCGTAAAACCTTCAAATAGGCCTTCGGTGACAGTAAAAGTGAATCGACATTGCTATCCACTTCGTCAGGGTCCCATTCGTCCTCGGAAAGCAGCAGTTCCTCTTTTATCACGCTTTGTGATTTTCCTGCGAAGCTCAACTGTTTCTTGGACTCCAGGGTGATGATTTCGGATACTTCTAAGCTCTCCATTATACTGGTTGTCGTCGTCAAGGCGTATTGATGGAAGCTATTCTCTTTAGCCATCTCGTGGGTCATTATTTCGTTGATTTTTTTACGCTTTATGGGACTCTGACAGGAAGTGAAATTCAAGGCACGTTTTGGTGATGGGGTTTTGGGTTTTTGTAAGGACTTCGAGGGGGTAAACGTCGGCGGAGAGTCATCCTCGGAAGAATCGTCCAGAGAAATGCAGTATTTGGGAGGTTGGGAGGGAGAGGATTTGGGGGTTGTGGACAGGTTTCGGAGGTTTTTCTTGTTGATGTGTGAGAAGTTGCGAGAAGTGGAGGCTTTCTGAGGCAGGACCTCTTGACCTTCACCTGGATGCGAGTCCTCATCTGAGTCATTGAGGATTATAATGGCATCTGGTGGATATTTGCACTTCATTGGAGTAGCTTCAGAGAATATCGACTTTATCGGAGTGCTTTTGGCGGATTTCCCTGGTTTCTGGGCATAGAAAAAAAAAAGAAAGATTTTTTGATAAATTCCCAGAAGGGATGGATCACTTCAAAACTTTAAACTGTAAAATGTTATTTGCAGTTTTTAGTTGCTATTGTTATCTTCAAAGCAACAATTGACAGTTTTTTTATGCAGTTTATATTTTTATTTTTCAGAGGTAGACATTGATTGAGCACTGGAGCATTCATTGGTCGATTGATTCTCATAGGTTAGGATTTTTTTCGCTCATAAAATATAATTTTGTTTCTATAAAATAATCGAAAAAGTAGAAATTTCAGAGAGGAAAATGCATTCACAATTGACAATTGAAATTGAAACTGAAAGGGAGACAATTCTCCTTCATTCAATTATATATTCTGTTTACTATTCTTGATTAAGAGTAAAATGGACAGAATAAAAACGAACCTTTCGCGAGGTAA